TTCAAATATGTTCGTTTTCGACAAACTCCAAACGAAGAAAAAGGTAAAATATAAGAGTTGATGACTTTAATTCAATCCGCAATTACGGATAAAGCATTAGTTATCCAAGGTAAGATTTTACTTAACAGACACAAATTCTTTATAATCTTAAAGCGCGCCTTTAGAACTACCATCAACAGCTAAACAAAAAAAAGATAGACCAGTTGATCGGAAAGTTACCCAATGGTTTCAAAAAAATAATTTATGGCCTGAATTACAACAAATGTATGATTTTAAAACAATTGAAGATATAACAACATATTATAACGATTGTATTAAAAGTATATTCAATAAATTGTTTAACCATAGTGTCTGGAAAAATATACTGAAAGAGGTCGATTTTTGCACACCTGATTATATTTCTTACTGAAGAGGCTTTTTTTTTACAGTGTAGGATTCAACTTAGAAAACTTTTCAATTCTTTCAAGCGTTCAATCCTCAAGTCCTCTCAGAAATATATGTGAATCAACTTTGCAGTTTCAATTTTCTGACTACCTTTTCTAAACGCTCAATTTCTTTAATTTTAAGATAATTTTATGGCACCGGTATAAACTTCTTGCTAATCAGAAACATCACATATTTACTTATCTAAAAGTTTCTGTTTTATCATTAATTGCAGCTAAATTCATTTCTTATTTATTTTATTAATCTTAATTTTAATCTTAGCTTTCGCATCACCGATTCATCATCAGAGTTAAAATATTAAAGTTTTGAAACAGTTAAAACTACGTAATCAATAAAAGTAAAACGTAAAAGATTTCTTTTTCTTTTTCAAAATTACTAGACATCTAGCAAGTAGCGTATCTTTATCGTTCCACATTTGTCAGCATACAGACACATCTGGCAAAAGAACGAAAGACAGAACGAAGGAAACAAAATCATAACTGCTAGACAGAAGAGTATAAATCATGTGCTTGTGGTTAGGGGTGGCAGTATTAGTATTATTCATGTATTACATTACCGAGGAAAGTAATACTAAAAGGTATATATTACTGTTACTGATAACAATAATCTTTCATGTATTCCTGTTACTAGTAACAGTAATATTCATAAAATTAGTATTACTTTTCAGTAAAGTAATACAAGAAAAAAAAAATTAAATAGGGGCGCCACAATCAATACGAAATAATATGGTTTCGTGTTGATAGTGGCGCCCCTACTGAATTTTTTTTTCTTCTATTACTTTGCTGAAAAGTAATACTAATTTTATGAGTAAACGACAAAATTTGACCGCAATAGAAGACCACCCTTTTAGAACTTGACTTGAGAGACAAAATAGAAGACCAGGTGGTCTTCTATTATGGGGGGGGGGGGGGGGGT